CAGACTTCTTCAGGTATGTGAAATCACATTTGGAAAGTTTAATAGCTGCATAGTTCTAACAGCTAGTAAATTGAACATTGAAGACAGAACATTTCTATCACAACAGAAAAGTTCAACTATCATTAAAGAAGGGGATGGTTAAATTGTTAAATAAGACGAAGACTACCTTATAATACAGGAACTCCATATACAAGAAGGTTTAAGAAATGACTAATTTAGTGATTTAGCTATATTGATGACACTCAGCTCTTATTTTCCTTTGCCATCTCCAAGTTGGTTTATCCTAAAGTTGCCCCCCCCCCCCCTGGAGTTACAACACGGCTGCCGCAGCTCCTGGCAGAATGAAAAAAATATGGTTAGTAGTTCTCTACTCTGGCTGTTCATCTGCTGCTATCGAATCTATCTCAAGAAAATTTTAATTAGGGGTTATCTAAGGGTAGATGAAGTTTCCAACTTGGGCAAAGAAGGCATAAGGAGAGGAATGTTAGCTCAGTTAGTTGCTAATTTATATCTAAGAGGTTAGAGTTATCTCTTCACGTTTGGTCATGCTGTGCTTTTCAACATAGTTTATAACTTGGCCCTAAACTGTCTTTACTGAATTTTAGTGATGTGGAGGCACAAACTGTATTCTTCAGAAACAAATAATATTTTCAAAATCCAGAAAAATAGTCAAATCTTATTGTTAGAAGAGAACTGATTGGTAGATAACCTAATCCAAACAACCACTGCCTAGTCTAATAATATTATGATCCTATAGGCAGTAAAAACATTTACATTTTAAATAAAATTTGAATTGTCCAGTTTCAATAATTCAGTTTTGAATAACTTGAATAATTCATTTTAACAATCATCTGATATAACTCTCAGACTAAGTAGCTGAATACTAAGCTATCTGGCAAAGTAAGGTTGTTATGAACTTTTTTTTTTGCTCTTGTTTCTGAGCCTTTAAAATGATCTTTAAGTAGTTATACAAAGTAGTTGCCACTTAACAAAGTATTTTATGAACTCTTTTATTCTGATAGTGAGTTGTTTGCTTGATTGATGATGAGTTCCAGGAACATAAAATTTGCACCCTTGTAAACACACATTATTTTACTTCGTTTTCCTTCATGAATGAAAAATCTGGTTGAATGAAGAATCAATGAAGAACCATGTTGCTTTTTGTATTTCCAGCAATTGATGATGTAGGTTTGTCTTTCTGCCTATTAAAATGGAAAAAGTAAAGCATAAGCCACAAATGATTTGCATATGCTTAAGATTTATTCTGGAAAGATGAATCTTCTCCCCCCAAATATTTTAAAATTTAGTCAAAGGTTTTGAAGAGTCAAAACAAAATTCCTGATCAGTGTGGGTACCTAAGGAATTTCATATTTGTTGGTGAGATTATGTGGTAGCCACAGTGACATAGTATGTGGGTTGGGTTGTTTTATTTTTGAGCTAGAAAGACTGCATAAACTGTAATGGAAAATAGTAATCACTTCCTAATGATGTTTTGTTTTACTTTTTTAAAAATAAAGGTTGAAACATGTTGTGCTATTTATATAGAGGTTTTACAAGATTTGTAGAATTATGTGAAGCAGGCATTAACCTCTAGTCCACAGAAACCACCCAGATTAAAACTATTTGAAAGAATGCATGCATCACAGAGAACTAAGACAGGAATCTCAGCACTCAGATCCCAGATGGTCTCTAGTTAACAAGACTGAGAAACCAGCTAAGAGTGATCCTTTTCCCCTCATTTCAGTTAGAACACTGGAGTTTGGGTTTGATTAAATACCCCCATGAGGGTATATGCTCTTCTTTTATTTCACATGACAGTTGTTTTAAGAGTGTGCTCCTTAGGAAACTAGATTTACTTTAGTTGATTTTTTTTAAAATAAGAAATATACTTTTAATTTGAGATCAAGGCAGGGTGATTATCTGTCATTCAATATACCATGTTTTTAGCATCTTTCTCTCCTATACTTGGTAAAATTCTCCTTCTAAATCATTTGAAGAAACTTTGTGATTCCTTAATACAGTCAGCTAGATACATACCTACATACTTTTCAGGTGATACTGAATGTTTATATATGACCAAAAGGGATAAGCAGGAGCTGAAACCTAGTCTTTTCTTTGCCAATAAAAATGTGTACCTGGAAAAGTATTCATTAATTTAGGGATTACTACTGAGGACTGAACCCAGAATCTTTCATATGCTGGGCAGGTGCTCTCCTGTATAAGCCATACCCCAGCCCTTGCAAGATATTTACTAATTTCAGCTAAATGATAGACATGATACTTTTATGTTAGATACCAACTATGTTCTGTTATGTCTCATATTTTGAAACTCATTTGTTCATTTTGTTGCTTGTGTCAGAACTTCTTTCCTTTTTTTACTTTTAAAAAATGAATACTGGGCTGGGAAGGTGGCTCAGTGGTAGAATGCTTACCTTGCAAAGAGGCCCTGGGTTTGATTCCTCAGCACCACATAAGCAGAAAAAGCCAGAAGTGGTGCTGTGGCTCTAGTGGTAGAGCACTAAAGCTGAAGAGCTGAGGGACAGCACCCAGGCCCAGAGTTCAGGCCCCATGACTGATTAAAAAAAAAAAAGATGAATACTATTCTGCTGTATTTATTTGCCACCTTTTGTTTCATTTGTGTATTCATCTGATCATGGGCACTTAAGTTGATTGTACTCTTTGACTTTCATGAGTAATTTTATGAACATGAGTATACACATTTTCCCTACTTTCGGTTCTTTGTATCCAATTGTAGTTGAGAAATAATATGGCAATTCTAGATGTTTAATTGCGTGAGAAACTGCCTTATACTTTTCAAAGAAGCTATACTTTTGTTTCCTAGGTTTTGTTTTGTTTTCTGTTTATAATAATCATCCTAACAAGTGTAAAATGTACCTCACTTGTGGTTTTCATTTGCATTTTCCTAATAATTAGTGACCTTTACCATCTTTTCATGTGTTTATTCATCTCTTGTGTATCTTCTTTGTGTATCAGTTTCTTTGTACATTTCTTAATTTAGGTTACTTTGTTGTTATGATGAGATTTAAGGGTTCCTTAAGCACTGCAGATATTAACCTATTGTCAGATATAAAATTTGCAAATATATGATTTTCCATTCTGTTACTAGAGTGTTTTGATTCACAAACTTTTTAGAATTCCATTTTATCTTTTTCCCCCTTTTGTCATCTGTGCTTTTGATGTCACCTCCAATAATTCATTACCAAATCCAGTATTATGAAACATTTTCCTTTATGCTTTCAAAGAGTTTTATCGTTTCAGCTCTTATGTTTGGTCTATGACTCATTTGACTTAATTTTTTTGTATATGGTGCAAGGGAAGAATAATGGGTGGGGCATGATAGGAAGGTGGTCAGGCACAGATGAAACAGAACATTTAACATTTATGTTATCCAGAGTGAATTAATGCCTGTCAAAGCAGGTGAAGAAGGAAGGAGATGTAAACATTAACTTTTCTGCAGTCTACATTGTTAGTTTTTGTTGGATTGGTGTACATAGTTATCTACATCATGGAGTGTAGGGAAAGAAGCTATGTGACCTATGTAGCTGCACTAGATAAAGAATAGATTCTGAAAACCTTGCCATTGAGTTTTGCCCATGTCTGATGGTAGACTTGAACCACAGCTAATCACTGTTCTCAGCCATTTTTAGGTAAGTGATCAATGCCCTCCAGCTGTTAATTGTCAAATTCAGTTCTTAAACTCTATTGTCTCTCTTATTATATTTGGTCAATCTTATTATATTTGGTGAATTTTATTTTGGAAAAAAATGTATTCTGCTTGGGACAATAAATATAGTTTCAGAATTTTGTGAATGTGTATATTTTGGTCCTGGGACTTGAACTCAGGATCTGAGTACTGTCCCTGAGGTTTTGTGCTTCAGGGAGCATTCTACCACTTGTGCCACAGCTCCACTTTCAGCTTTTTGATAGTTAATTGGAGATAGAGTCTCACAGGCTTTCCTACTCTGACTGGCTTTAAATTGTGATCTTTGAATCTCAGCGTCCTGAGTAGCTAGGATTATAGGAATGAGCCACTGGCATTTGACAAGAATAAATTTGACTTCTGGAAGAGCCTCCATATCCTGTAATGTAAGTGTTAAATGCCCAGGGGGAGGAGCCAGGATATCTGTTTCTGTGTCATTTACAAAAAAAAGGTATGAGATGCTATCAGGACAAAGTTTTGGGGTCCTGGCCTAGGTGATACCGTACTTGCCTAGCAAGCTCCAAAGCCTTGAGTTCAAACTCCAATGCCACCAAAAATTTTAGTAGGGCAGAGTATGGAAATCATCACAGTTGAGAGACAGTACAATGTAAGCAGTAAGATTATGATCTTTAAAACAAAAAAGCACTTGGTTCTAGTGCTAGTCCAACATGGAAAGGATGTTTGTCTTGGGTAAGAGGTTTCTCTGCTTGGTTGGTTAAATTTTTCAATACATATATAGAGAGTAATAGTACCCAATTCAGTGGGACTTTGTGCTATGAAATAAGATGAGCTATGTATGTCAAATTCATTGCACAGTGCTAGTCTTATTCCACGTACTCTACAAATAAGTGGTAGTAAGGAGAGAAAATTTCTGTTTATGTATATTTAAGTAGGATTTTTTTCTTTATTGAAATATCTATTTTAGAGAGAAACTTAACAATTTACAAGTTTCTTGGATTGTTTTTGTTTTACTTAAAAAAAACTATGGTTGATTGCCCCCATTGAACATTGTTGATATTTATTTCTTTTGCTTTCTCTTTGTTATCAGTGACAATGATTTTCAAGTTCTTTGCTTTTTTTCATGCAGATTACCTTTAGTACAATAATTCTTTGATCTTTCTTGTACTTGTCTTTTGTGCAAAGTTCTTCTATTTAAGTTTTTTTTCCTCCCTTGTATTCCTTCTATTCTTCTTACTGAATGCTTTCCTGCTTACTATTTCATACTTTTGTTGAAATGTTTTTGAGTAATCCTCTTAACCCTTCTCATTAACCATACTAGTGAGAAGAGGGGATGTCCTGGCAGCCTGGAGCGGTATTCGGCCCCTTGTTACAGATCCCAATTCCGCAGACACACAGTCCATCTCCAGAAACCACATTGTGGACGTCAGTGAGAGTGGGCTCATCACCATAGCAGGTAAAGACTTGGCCTTGCGGTTAGAATGTCTATAATCAAGAATTCTAATAACAACAGATGCTGGAGGTGATGTGGACAGAAGGGAACCTTACTTCATTGTTGGTGGGAGTGTAAACTTGTTCAACTACTTTGGAAAGCAGTATGGAGGTTCCTGAAAAGACTTCACATAGAGCTCCCTTATGACCCAGCAATCTCACTTTTGGGCATTTACCCAAATGATCACAAACAAGACCATACAAAAGCTACCAGCACAACTATGTTTATTGCAGCATTATTTACCATTGCTAAGATATGGAACCAACCCAGATGCCCCTCAGTAGATGAATGGATCAAGAAAATGTGGTATATATACAGAATGGAATTCCATCAGAAAGAATGACATTGCCCCATTTGTTAGGAAATGGAAAGACTTGGAAAAAAGTATATTAAGTGAAGTAAGCCAGGCCCAAAGAAACAGGTCCCATGGTTTCCCTTATTTGCAATAACTAGTATATGTCTGGGACAAGCAGAAAAGGTCAGGTAAGATGATGTTAAGTGAAATGAACACCAAGATCAAGATACAAGTGGTTTTTTCTTTCTGGCTATTGTTTCTAATGTATTTATAAGGTACCACATGATTTTTTGTTGCTTTGTATGTCCCTCCCCCATGGTATAACCCCTGTTTTCACTGTATTTGATGTTGATATAATTTGGGGAGGGGAAGGGAAAAAACAAATTGTTTAAATAGAGATACAGATTGACCCATTTCAACAATGAAAAGTACAGATGCTATGTCGAAAAATGAATTTTACAATCTAGGTGGGGGCTGGTGGGGGGGGGAGTGTAGTTGTGGAGATGGGAGGAAAGAGATGGTAGAGGAAAAACAGGAGGAGGCAACAATGCTTGATAAGTAATGTACTCATTACCTTGCTCATGTAATTGTAACCCCTCTGTATAGTATTTTCTTATTAAAAAAAAAGGATTCAGCCTTGGTTCTTTTGATGTGCTTTAGAGACAAACTTCGCTAAATTATTCCATGAATTTTTTCTCTTTTAAATTTTTATTGTCAAGGTGATGTACAGAGAAGTCATGATTACATAAGTAAGGTAATAAGTACATTTCCTGTCAGACTTGTTACCTCTTCCCTTATTTTACTCCTATTTTCCCTCTTTTCTCTCTAATAAACAAACCTTGTCTTATGTTTGTTAATACAGCCTTACACATTGCTTTGTCATACTTACTGTAAACAACAGGTGAGATTTGTTATCAGTAAGTTGCTATTACTAATTTGTTATTAGTTATTTGATGAATGGTTAAATATAAGAGAAATAAGGAGTGGTGACAGAATGAATTGTTTGTCAACTTCATTGTAGGTGGGAAGTGGACAACGTACCGGTCCATGGCAGAAGACACTATTAATGCTGCAATCAAGGTTCACAATTTGAAAGCAGGGCCAAGCAGGACAGTTGGTCTTTTCCTGCAAGGAGGCAAAGATTGGAGTCCCACCCTCTACATCAGGCTTGTCCAGGATTATGGACTGGAAAGTGAGGTGAGTATCTGTTGCCATCTCTTTCTACTTCAGTTCATCTGTCACTAGTGCCATAACAGAGTCAGTAGTAATGATGTAGCTCCCTTGACTTAGAGTTTCCTTTTGCTGGGGACATTTCTCTCTGTGTATGGCAAAGTAAACTTAGAGAAAAAGATCGTCCAACTTTGCAATAGATACCAAGAGGCAATGTACATGTCACTTTCTATTTTGAAACTGAGAGTTTTTTCTTGGTTTATTCTTAGCATGTAGAGCTTCACAAATTCTTTCCCAAGCACAAGGATGGCTGTTCTGTAGGAGTGATGTCAGGAGCAAAATGAAGCTGAAGCTTCATCTGTCACTGATACAGTGATATATGAGAAGCTGAGTTAGTGCTGGCCTAAGCATTCAGAGCCCAAGTGGTTTCCTCCCACAGAATCAAAACCTAATCCTCTCTGGGAGTCATTAGTTATAGACTGTAAGAAAACTGACCAGATAAGCATGTACTTCTTGAGGGTTTTTCTTTTTCTTTGGTCTGTCTAAGGTAGTTTTATTTCTACAGGTGGCCCAGCATCTCTCCACCACCTATGGTGACAAAGCTTTTGAGGTGGCTAAAATGGCAAGTGTAACTGGAAAAAGGTGGCCTATTGTTGGTGTACGCCTTGTGTCAGAATTCCCATATATTGAAGCAGAGGTATGTAATGGTCACATGGGAATTTCTTGTCTGCCATGTAATACGCTTCATCTGTTCATTTAGTAGTGTCTTCACAAAACTGTAAGGAACTAGTTTTAATGCACACGTGTCAGCCAAGAACTGGCATTGTGTGTCTGTTTGCATAGACACATTCATCCATTTATGGAATTTTCATTCAGAGGTGGTGTTCATGGTGGGCATTGTATGATATGTGGATTTCTTTTTTCTCATGATGCTATATCAGTGATTGTGCAAATGAACTCCAAGACATAGAAACAAATCTTTGTCCCTTTTTGTGAATCTGAGCTCTTCCAATTTTTACTTATCTTGCCTGATGACATACCTTGCTGTACTAAAAACCTCTCAAAGATTTTAAGTCTTGTTTCTCATGATACTTCAAATTTTCTGAAACTTGTCATGTTATGCTTTTATGTGGTGTGTGTGTGCGTGTGTGTGTGTGTGTGTGAGTGAGAGAGAGAGAGAGAGAGAGATTGGAGAGAGAGTATACTGGAGCTTGAACTTAGGGCCTCCTGTTCTTACTTTTTTTTTGTTGAAGGCTGGTACTCTACCACTTAAGCTATACCTGTACTCCCAGATTTTTGCTGGTTAATTAGAGTTGAGTTTCTTGAATTTGGTTTTCTAGACTGGCTACAAACCACAGTCCTCAGATCTCAGCTTCCGAGGTAGCTAGGATTACAGGCGTGAGACACTGGCATCTGGCCATGTGTTATAATTATTCTTAGCACATTGTGTCCAAAAAGCATTTACTTGTTGATGAAATTCAAGCTGTCATGCGGTTTCTTTAAGACACAAAACTTTACAGCCTAAAGAGATGAGACCAACTTTTATCTCCTCATCTTTTACCTACTCAGCTATGTAAACTATCTTCCCTACTATGTAGAAGCAAAGAGGATTAAGTGATTACTGTAGTAGGTTAATGAAAAATGGTACCGTTTGCAAACTGATACCAGGATCCATTCAGTAGGAAGGCATTATCTCTTGTCCAGTTTATCCTATTTTTCAAATCTACTTTGGCAGACAGATGGAGAACTTGGGTTATATGAGTATTTGTTTTCTGCCTGCTAGCGAATCAGACAATGTAAAGAATACCACCACCTTTTCAAATATGAACATTTTAATGTGAAACTTCTATTTCCTCTTCTTAGAGAAAACTCTCAACTAATCATTTATATTTTTTCACATTTTTTATTAGCATCAATAGTTTACGATGAGCTTTTATTTTGACATGAACATACCAGAATTCCTCCCTCACTCCCTCCCTCCCTTGGCTTGACCTCAGGACCTCTTGCTCTTGCTTGATCTTTTCAGCTCAGGGCTGGTGCTTTACCACTTGAGCCACACATCCACTTGGCTTTTGGTGATTAATTGAGGAGTCACATGGACTTTTTTGCTCAGGATGGCTTCAAATCATGATCCTCAGATCTCAGTCTCTTGAGTAGCAAAGGTGACAAAAAGCCACTGGCCAGCATACAAAATCCTTTGATTAGAATTCACCCCTTTTCTCAACCTACCAAATCCTCCTCCTCATTTTTTTTGTAATTCAGGTAAAATATGGAATTAAGGAGTATGCCTGCACTGCAGTGGATATGATCTCACGTCGCACTCGCCTGGCCTTTCTCAATGTCCAGGCTGCGGAAGAAGCCCTTCCCAGGATCGTCGAACTGATGGGCAGAGAACTGAATTGGAGTGATTCTAAAAAACAGGTATTAAATACATGGAAGTCTCGATAATTATATTTCCCTTTATGAACATGTAAATGCTTGATATGTATATAAAAGCTAGAATAATTTTGGTAGTTATCTTACATTTCTTCCTGTAGACATATTTATATATTATGTTATAGTTATATATTATAAATTAAATGATATATATGATCGATATATATTTGATATATATGTATGTGTGTATATCTATCTGTATGATTTAATATTGTTAGGCCTTAGGAGAGTGGAAAGATATTCTTGGACCATCTTATAGAGAATGCTCTTAAATTTGTGCTCATAACTTCTGCAAAAGGAAAGGTAAATGATGGTGGGTGTTTGTTGTTGTTGTTTCATGGAATACTTTCAGAGGAGGTTAGTACATGGAGAATGGAAGTTTGAAGATAGCCCAAGCAGAAAAGTCTGTGAGTCTCCATCTCTAATGAATGGGGAAAATTCCAGGAATAGTTGATTAGAGGAATGATTCAAGTGGTAGAGCATCAGCCAAGCAAGAAAGTGAGCAACAATGTGAGGCCCTTAGTTCGAGCTACAGTACTAGAAACAAAGAAACGAAGAAAGGAAAGGAAGAAAGGGAAAAAAAGAAATTTGCTCTAGCACTTTGTCAGCAATTCACATTTTTGCTAATTTGCCTTTGTTAACAAACAGTGGCTTCACCTCGTGACAAGCAAATACTTGTCAGTTGTGTCATTTGAAATTTTGTATTATGTCCATAAAGCCAGAAATAGTCAGATGAAAGTATTTTAACCCCCCCCCCCACACACACTTGGATTTGTTGTAATAAGTAGGAGATCTTCATGTTTTAAAAATTAACCCAAACTGTTGTGACATGCAGAGGTTTTTGAAGTATTTTCATACATGCAAAAATCTATTTTGGGAGAAGGTTTTAACTCAGAGGCTTCGTGTACTAGGTGGTCACTGTACCATTTGAGTCACACCTCCAGCCTTTCACATATTCAAAAATACTAGGAACACTCCCAAGATTTATTTTCTTTGTCCTTACTCTTTCTTGAATCCATCATATTTTTTTGCTACCATCTTGCTGTATTAACCCTGGCCAAGCTCACCAGTAACATGTTTCTCAATGTACATGTAGGTGTTCTTTACCCATTAGTTTGCCCAGCAGCAGCATTTGACACCAGACATTCTCCCTCCTTGCACTACCTACCTGGTCCAGGCTCAAGTGCTGGTCTTACAGATGTGTCACCTTGACCTCCTTTCTATTATTGTTGAAGACCATTTATCTTCCTACAGAATTTCCATGTCATAATTAGCTCTTTTACCTGTAGTCACTCTAACTTAAGCCTTGGTATTACACTTCAGAAAAAATAGTTTTATCTTCAAATGTGTGTACAGTATTTGTACATGTCCGTTTATGTATATCGTTTAATTTTTATTATCTTCAAGTAGTTGTACAAAGTGGTTTCAATTCAACGTGTATGGTGTATCTTGATCAGTTACCCCTTGCATCATTCTCAACCCCTAATATCTTACTCTAGATATTCACTTACAATTATCTAAGTCTACCAGTAAATCTTGTCCTATTTATTTTCAAATGGCTTAGTCCAGCCCTCAACACATGCACTCTTATCAACTTGAGGCAGATGAATTATAGTAATTTCTCTTTCCAAAGGCCAATGTTTCTGCTGATGTGAAGTTCACATCTAAGTTGTATTTCAAGTGTTCATATTGAATGAGATCTTGAAGGAAGTCCCTGTAACCAGGGAAGGAAAGTGGCTAGAGACTGAACCCAGGGATATTCCATAGACTGGAAGTTGGAGAGAAAAAAGGAGAATACAAAAGAAAGAGAAAGTAATAGCTTGTAAGGTTGGAGGAGGTATGAGAAAACCAAAAGCTAACTCCATCCACGTGGGCTGCCAATCAGCAATACCACAGGTGGGTGGCCCAAACAACAAACATTTATTTCTCTCAGTTCTGGAGACTGGGAAGTTCCAGAATCAAGATTTCAGTTGAGGTCTGATGTGGGTCTACCTCCTGGTCCAGCAATGGACATTCCTTTTATATTTTCTCACTTGGAGTGATTGAATGTGAGTGAACATCTGTGTCAAGTGCTGAGGGTATAGTGAGGAACAGTACTTAAAATGTTCCCATTCTGGCATAGATCCCTGAAGATGATGGTTCTATATCAGTCATTTTGTGAGTGCAGAAAAATGGGAAGATTGAGAGGTTTATTTTAGACTACCAAAACGTCTTAAAGGGTACCATTATAGCCCTGATTTTTTAGGTTTTGCCTCTAGTGATTTTAGAGTAATATACTACTGCATATTAATGGTAGAAGTCACTTTCAAACAGAGTGCCATGATCCTAATGATATCTCTGAGGGCCAGCTTTGCTGCTATTTGATTTTTGAGAAATTCACAGAGTCAATTTCTGCCAGAGTTTACACAAGTAGCAATTGTAGAGCTGGCATCCAAACCTAACCTCTAGATCCCAGAACATGTGTTTTTCCCCCTGCCCTTGTGCCTCTTTATTAGCCATTCTGGTACCAGTGTTGCATTTAAGTGTGCTCTGCCAGAGCTCCATATAGAGGCAATATAGAATAGAGCTTACTCTTCGATTACAGCCAGTCTTCTCCTGTATAGAAGAATTGAGAGAATATGTTCTTGCAGAAATTATGGTCAGAATGACTTGAATATGCTGGAACATATTTTCTTTCTTTTTTTTTTTTTGCTTATGTGGTGCTGAGGAATCGAACCCAGGGCCTCATGCATGCAAGGCAAGTGCTCTACCACTGAGCCACCTTCCCAGCCCCTGAAACATATTTTGTGCTAAGAATTCAGAAGATAGTAGTAGGAAGGAAGAAGAAAATTCTGTGAAGTGGCTGTTAGGAGCACTGGTTGTTTTTAGCCTTCCTAGGAATTCAGAAATAACAGCATTTCACATTTTCCTTGTTTGATTAAGAATACTCTAATATCCTACACAACGAAGTAACAAAATGAAAGACAAAGTTATTATTTAGTGTCTGAGACACAGGAGTATTAATGAGATATGTGGACAGTCTAGAGAGAACCAAGAAGGGAGTGGGGAGGGGGGACTTAAAGGTTAGAAAGTTGGACTTCTGAGAAAAGGTTAAAAGCATTGGGATTATTTAACCTGCAAAAGTGGAAAAAGAAAGGGTGATAAATAACCCTCTGCAGATGAATTGTAGTTGTTTTTACCGGTCAATACTTAATGAGTGACTTGTATACTGAACACCATAGCAAACATTTTAGGGGAATAATAAATAGCTCATAGTTTCAATGATTTTGAGGTGTCATTGGGTGGATATAAAACATACTTGCCTCAGAGATGTATGCATTATTTTTCCAAATTTTATAGAAATATTAAGTGAAATTGTTACTAAGAACTGAAAGCTAAGCCAGGCATGGTTGGCACACTCTTGTAAACCCAGCACTCATTTTATAAATGAAAAAAAATATCAAGAATAATAATCCCATTTTAAATTATTTAGTAAACAAATCTAACACTCGATAACTTTTTTTTTTTTTGGCCAGTCCTGGGGCTTGAACTCAGGGTCTGGGCACTATTCCTGAGCTTCTTTCGCTCAAGGCTAGTTTTCTCCCATTTGAGCCACAGTGCCACTTTCAGCTTTTTTCTGTTTATGTGGTACTGAGGAATATCTGCAGGGTTTCATGTATGCTAGGCAAGCACTCTACCCCTAAGCCACATTCCCAGCCCCAGATAGATAGTTAAATAACTTCTTTTTCTTTACTTTCAATTATATTTTCTGACAATTTATTACTCAGTAGTAAAACTATTTTTTTCTTCCTCTCCCTTGTCTTATGTATTTTAAATTATTCACTTCTAAAAAAGCATTTTCCAGTATTACAGGGTCTTCTATGACAGCTAAAAAATTCAGATTATTTTGAAAACTTTTTACCTCAAGAATACACATACTAGACAGTAGATAATCTCTTTAACACCTAACCAAGATTAGAAAGCAAAATACTCAATTAGAAACTATGTTCTGATATCACATTTTCACATAACAGCCATAATATAATGAAATGGTCAATTTGTATCTCTTTGCATGTCAACATTTTAAAGACTATATGGCCATAAACTTTTCTAAAAAGTTGGATAATTAAATCCTAAATATATACATGTTGAATGTTAACTTTTGTTTACAAATAATCTTCCAATTAAAAATATCTCTTTAAGTATTAAATAGGAATTTGTAAGTTTCTGTTAGATTTTATAATACTCAGTATAATCTTCAAAGTATTCATTTAGAATTCTGAATATTTAATATCAAATAAAGTTAAAGCAATGAAAATTTCAAGGGGAAAAAAAAGAATGATAATCCCTTATATGAATAGTATAAGAAATGAACAGTTTTGGGGATAAATGCTAAAAGCATCGAAGTAATTTTTTTTTTTTTTTTAGTTTTTGAGATGGGACTTACTGGCCTATGCTGGCCCCGAATGGCTATGTGTCCCAGGTTGGCTTCAAAACATGATCCTCCTTCCTCAGCCTCCCAAGGCCTAGAATTATAGACCACAAGTATGTGCTACCACATTCAGCTTTTCAAATAACCTTTTTGTTTTTGATACTGGAGTTTAAATTCAGGATTTGAGTGGAACTAGCCCTCTCCCTTTTACTTTAGGTATTTTGTGTCTTATCATCTCAGATTATATTTCTCTGCATAGGCTTTGTACAGAGCTGGGATCACAGGCCTGGACCATTCTGCTCAGCTTGTTTGGGTAAGATTGAGGTCTCACTAACTTTTTGTCTGAACTGGCCTTGAACATGATCCATCTGGTATAAGCACTGTGCCTGAATGCAGAATAACTTAAAAACTGAACAGAGTTCTAGTAGGGTTTAAATATTCAATTATTTGATTATTAATTAAGTTTGGCCAGCACTATATATATTTGTCAGTTTTCTCAGAACTCAGGGACTGGACACTCTTTGAGCTTTTTTTTTTTTTTTTTTTGCTCAAGGCTAGTGTTTTACCACTTTCA